AATTCTTCTTAAAAAAAAAAAAAAAAAAAGATTTCTTGTTCTCCTCTCTGGCAACCATTGTTTCCTTATCTGTTAAGTCGAAATTATAAATACTACTTTTTCCCCCTTGGTGAGGCTAAGTAACTTTCCCAGAGGTACATACTGATAAGTGGGAGAGTCCACACTGCATCCTGTAGATCCTGCAGGACACAGCAAGGAAGGAATGAATAGGGTGAGGCTGTAAGTACAGTAGCAGAGAGGGCAGTGACAGCTTCATGACTGGAGTGACCCCCAACCCTCCTGCAGACACTCTGCTGCCCTTGCACAGTCCTAAGCTGTATATTCTTCCCAGTTAAATAGCATCTGTCCTGTCCAGTAAGGGTTCCCCAGGACCTTTCCTAGATGTCCTTCTTCATGGTTTGCTAACTTTGGCAGTCAGAAAATCCTTTGGTGCCTCTGATTTCCCCCAGTAGTCATGAAACGTTGGCTCTTTACTGTGTGTTTGCTTCCCCAAGGAAGTAGAACGCAACCTCCAGGATGCCATGCAAGTGTGCCGTAACGTTCTCCTGGACCCTCAGCTGGTGCCGGGGGGTGGTGCCTCTGAGATGGCTGTGGCCCACGCCTTGACAGAAAAATCTAAGGCCATGACTGGTGTGGAACAGTGGCCGTACCGGGCTGTTGCCCAAGCCCTCGAGGTCATCCCTCGTACCCTGATCCAGAACTGCGGGGCCAGCACCATCCGTCTTCTTACCTCCCTCCGGGTGAGTTCCTCCAGCGCTGCTGTCCTAATGGGGAAGGGAAAGCTATTTGGCCAAAGGGAATGTTTCACCTCTAACCAAGCTTTTAATGGTTTGTTCTCTTAAAATCATTGTCTCCTTTTAATCTTTGATTTTGTTGTTGTCATTGCCATTTTCCCATCCTTTTCATACCAATTCAATAGTTTTGGTTTTCTTTTTTACCTAATATTTCCTACCAACTTAATTCTTCCTAGTATTTTCATTTTTCATTATTTCTGCTTGTTCTAACTAGGCCAAGCACACCCAGGAGAACTGTGAGACCTGGGGAGTAAATGGAGAAACGGGCACTTTGGTGGACATGAAGGAACTGGGCATATGGGAGCCATTGGCTGTGAAGCTGCAGACATATAAGACAGCAGTGGAGGTGAGATACTCCAGGACGTTACATGCTGTTTATTTCCAGATGACCAGAAGCCCGTGCATTTGCCCTGATCTCAAAGAGAAGGGCTGTAGAAGGCAAATTATTCCCCAAGGATCTCCCAAGGAATCCCATCTCCCTACTTATCTTTAGTTCACACAGAAAGCATGGTTGGGGCCAGCCCTTGTGGTTAAGGCAGCCTGATCCCACATAGCCAACCACTTGGCTTGTAACTGGCTCTGGTTGGCCTAAAAACACATCACATGTGGGTACATGCATGCCCAAAATTCCAAAGGAAAGAGAGATGGAAGAGAATGAATTGCAGCCTGACCATGCCCCATGGAGGGTGCTGAAAGGTGTTTTCTCCCCTCCCTCCTCATGCACCCTCTAGCCCACAAAAGAAAAGGAAAAAGAAAGGGTAGGGAAACATCTCAAGCTACATCCTTACTTAGGGAGAACTGTATTTTGCATTCAAAGCTCCAGAAAGGTAGATTTCAGATAAAATGTTAATTCTGTGGGAGGAGTGAGGTGCTGTGCTCAAAAGAAAACAATGTCCTTCCCTCCCCTTCTGACCTCTTTGGGGCTGTGGTTTTCTCCTAGACGGCAGTGCTGCTGCTGCGGATTGATGACATCGTCTCAGGCCACAAAAAGAAGGGTGATGACCAGAGCCGGCAAGGTGGGGCCCCTGATGCGGGCCAGGAGTGAGTGGTGGGCTGGACGACTTCAGCTCACAGAAGCAGCAGTCTCCCCTTCCCTGGGCCAGAGTGCCAGGGACACTGGACGTCTTTGTTTGGAAGGGTTCAGGTTGAGGGGCAGCCCAGTCCCTTTCTGTCCCAGCTCAGTTTGCAAAAGACACTGACATGTAATTCTTCTCTATTGTAAGCTTTCCATTTAGTTTGCTTCCGATGATTAAATCTGAGTCATCTGGAAAAAAAAAAAAAAAGAGATAAAGAAGAGAGAGAGAGACAGAAAGGAGAGGAGAGGAGAGAAATATAGTCTGCACCACAGCAGGATCTTGACATCCCAACCCTCCCAACCCACCTCCAGCCACAGACAGCCCCAGATCGTTGGCAGCCATGTGCCTGGCACAGTGAGGGAGGTCTTGGAATGCAAACCCCGAACTTCCTATTGGGGCCAGTCTCAGAAAGTACAATGTTTTACCCTGGGCCACCATCTGGCCCACCCACAAGGTAGTAAATGATTAGTGTTTTGAAGAACTTCCATACTGTTTTTCATAGTAGCTATCCTACTTCACAGTCTCACCAACAGCATGTGAGAGTTTTTCTTTCTCCATATTCTTATCAGCATTTGCTGTTTTTTGTCTTTTTGGTAATAGTCCTTCTAAGCAGGTTGCAATGACACCTTATTATGGTTTTGATGTGTGTTTCCTTGATGATTAGTGATGTTACGCATTTTTCATATACTTCTTAGCCATTAGGATGTTGTCTTTTGAGAAATGCCTATTTAGATCATTTGATGATTTTCAGCTAATAAAAGAGAATCTAACACAAATTCCCACATCCGACCATTCTATTTCTGAACACAAGTCACAGAAAGCTCTATTTATTGAAGAGACTATCCTCTTCCCAGTATGTTTTCTGTGCCTTTGTCAAAAAACAATTGGTGATTTATTTCTGACTTTTCTAGTCTATTCCATTGGTATGTTTGACTGCCTTTATGGCAGTTCCCTGCTGTTTTGGTTACTATAGCTTTGTAGTATATTTTGAAGTCACGTAACGTGATGCCTCTGGTTTTGTTCTTTTTGCTCAGAAATGCTTTGGTTATTTTACTTTGTGATTCCATGATAATTTTCAGATTTTTATTCTATCTCTGAGAAAAATGCCATTGGTGTTTGACAGGCATTACATTAAATCTGGAAATAGCTTTGGGTAATATGGACATTTTAATAATATTAATTATTTTCATCTACAAACATGGGATATCTTTCCATTTGTGTGTGTGTGTGTTATCTTCAGTTTCTTTCATCAGTGCTTTATAGTTTTTATTGTAGAGATTTTTGGTTAAATTTATTCCTAGGGTTTTTGTTGTCATCATTGTTGTTATTGTAAATAATAAGCTTACCTTTTTGGTTTTTTTTTCAGCTAGCTCCTTATTGGTATATAAAAATATGACCAATTTCTGCATGTTGATTTTATATCCTACAACTTGAATGAATTCATTTTTTGAGTCTTTAGTCTTAGTCTATAAGATCATGTCATCTACACACAGGGACAGTTTGACTTCCTCCTTTCCAATCTGGATGTTTGTATTTCTTTCTCTTGCCTAATTTCTCTGACTAGAACTTCCAGTAGTATGTTTAAAAAGTGATGAAAGTGAACATCCTTGTTTTCCAGTTCTTAGAGGAAAAGCTTTCAACTTTCCCCCATTCAGTATGATACTCGCTGCAGGTCTGTCATACGTGGTCTTTATTGTGTTGAGGTAGGTTTCTTCTGTATCTAATGGACTGAGAGTTTTTGTCATGAAAGATAGTGTATTTTGTAAATGCTCTTTCTGCATCTCTTGAAATGATCATACGGTCTTTGTCCTTCATTCTGTTGATGTGTATCACACTTATTGATTTGCTTATATTGAAACACCCCTACACCCCTGGCATAAATTCCACTTAATCATGGTATATAATGTTTTTAATGTGTTGTTGTGTTTGTCAGCATTTTGTTGATAATTTTTGCAACAGTATTCATCAGGCGTATGGGCCCATAATTTTCTTTTCCTGTTGTATCCTTGTCTGGTTGAATGAATTTGGAAGGACTCCCTCCTCTTCAATTTTTTGGAATAGTTTGAGAGGAGTACTGCTAGCTAGCACTCCTTAGTTGTTGGCCCTCTTCCAAAATTACCCTTAACCTAAGACAGTCACTGCACAAAATTGCTTCCCGTTTTGGAAACAGTCTTAAAATGTGAAAATAATTTGTCAACACAAGGCCATTTTGTCCTAGTCCCTGTACCAATTGAGACGATTTTAAAGGACCATCCCAGTTTCAGATCTCCCCAGCAAGTCAGCTGATAGTTTATAAATACATTCAAATTTTTTTCTCATTCTCAACCCTGCTTCCTTCTTTTTCCTATATAGGGATTAATCCTGAGAGCACTTTCCAGTAAGTCTCCTGAACCCTCATCTCTGTCTCAGGGTCAGGTGCCCAATTATCCCGATGTGCAGCAAATAAGGAAGAAAGGAAAGCCAATAAAAAACTCCATTGATGGGGCTAGCAGGTGGCCTGGTGGTTAAGACACTGGACTCCTACAGGATACACGTCCCAGATCTGGTGACTTGCTTTCTCCCTCTCCCTCTTTCTGCCTCTCTGTTTCTTCTGTCTCTCTCATAAAATTGAATAATAACAATAAATAAAATTAAACAAATAATTCTTTTTGAAAAATTTCATTGATAAAAATGTTCCAGCTATGGACAACTGGGGATGATTCCCTGGGGACCTTCTCAGACACTATGTTGAATGTGTCTCCGAAT